GAACTTAGTTCATGAACCTTTCCCCCCCTTTTCCTTCCCTGCTAGAGAGCAGGTACTTTCATGGGAGAAAAAGGTTCCCATTTCTGATTGGCTGGGCGGATTGCAAACCACGCCCCGTAAAACTCTGAAAAGTTTTGTGAAGCCGCCATTATATTTGCTGGCATTAGCATTATTAGCATTATTATGTCGGCGTTCTGGCGATTTACTCTGAAGGCTTCAGTAGAAGCTTCTGGGAGTCCCAGCAGCTTCTACTGAAGCCAGTCCCCAACTCCGGGGACTTCGGGTGGCAGTATACGCCGTGAATCCTATTTCTGATTGGCTGGGAGGATTGCAAACCACGCCCCGTAAAACTCCAAAAAAAAATTGTGAAGCCGCCATTTTATTATCCTTGCATTAGCATTATTAGCATTAGCATTCGCCCAGCGCACAAACGGAGAGAGACTAATTTATGGCAACACAAAATAAAACATGGGAGCGGTGGAGATGAGGAGGTGTCGGCGTTCTGGTGATTTACTCGGAAGGCTTCAGTAGAAGCTGCTGGGAGTCCCAGCAGCTTCTACTGAAGCCAGTCCCCAACTCCGGGGACTTCCGGCCGGGGACTCCGGGTGGCAGTATACGCCGTGAAGTTGTTTGCGGCCTGCCAGTAAACCCAAAGCAGAAGAAGAAGAAGTGACGTCAGCGGCTTCATTTGCGTAATCCTCCCTCAGGGACTTATTCCGGTGTGAACGCGATCTGCTCTTTAGTTCATGAGAACTAAAGAGTTCTGATTAACTAAGTACGGCAAAGTACTTGGTGTGAAAGCGCCTAATGATGTTCTTGGACACATTTAGAAATATGCATTTGGTTTCTCAACACAAAAAGTTATAGTAAAAAATGCGTAATTACATCAATGCAAAGACTAAAAGAGTCCTATAATTCCTGCTTATTTAATCTTTTACCATGTTGTTTTCCCAGAAAGATGTTCTCCACAGACACTAACGGCGGTCCGTTACAGAGTTATATTCAGAATAAACACTGGAATTAATATTTGGCTTTAATCTGGCATTTGAAATATACTGTAGATACACTTTGTATGTTACAGGAACACAGTGCTTCAGTTATTGTTGTTGAATCAAGCTGGAAACGGACATGATAGTTCGCTCACGTTGTCAGAAAACAGTGATTTGTGTAAGGGTTAGTCTTCATGATGTTTAACAAAAGTAAAAGCCATCCTGAAATCTTCCTTACAGTGTGTTTCATCTTATGAGTTGATTAGCAATTTTCGTATCGATCTATGGGGCATTATAGCTCGCCATGCTGCTCTGTTAGCGCTGTGTTTAGCATGATTAGCACGTTGCTTTTACCCACCAGGCAGGGGCCCCGTAAGGGGGTGAAAAGTTAGGACGATTCTAAGGGCCCGTGACTGACAGGGGCCCAAACCATTTTAGAACATTAAGAAAAAAATGTTTAAGTAACCAATGTGATTATCTTTTCATGGAGCCCACAATCCCTGGCGGCACCCCTGCCACCAGGTAAAGACTTTGAAGCCACCACAATAATGTGTTACAAGGACCAGCTCTGAACAACTCCAGCAGTGTTTACAAAAACTCCCCAAACACTTGTGAAATCTTTGTTTTGCATTTCAAGAACACAGTTTTTGGAGGAGAGCAGCTTCTCTGTGTTTATCTGAAGGAGACAGTGACAGGGAAGCATTGCACCAACACACTCACATTCATATCATATTCTATTGACATGTATATAGACTTCTTGCACTATGTTTTATTTTTGTATTGTATTATATATGTTGCATTGTTGGAGGAGCTCAGGTGCATATGACATTAAAACCTTTGAAAACCTTTGAAAATGTTAAATGCATGCACTCACAGTGTATCTAGTCTCAGCAATCTGCTGCAGTGTGTAGTGAGAGTTGTGAACAGCAGCGCTACACTCCACCTGACATATGGTGAGGGAGCTGCTGCTGGAAATGCACGGCTCTAATCTCTCTGTGCTGACTGACAAATGGACTGGGAGGAAGCTGTGGTGCAGAGAAACCTGTGGTTCAGCCCCGAGCGTCTGTCTGACGGAGAGAGAGAGAAACAAGACGGAGATAGAAAGCCTCAGAGCAGACCAACCTCATGGTGAGTAGAGAGAGAGAGAGAGAGAGAGAGAGAGAGAGAGAGAGAGAGAGAGAGAGAGAGAGAGAGAGAGAGAGAGAGAGAGAGAGAGAGAGAGACCTGAGGCCACGCAGCAAATGGAGCTCATTTATGATGCCTAATGCTTCCATTTAATCCCAGAGAGCCACAGGACACACACACACACACGCACACACGCACGCACGCACGCACGCACACACACACACACACACACACACACACACACACACACACACACACACACACACACACACACTACCACACACACACACACACACACACACACACACACGCACGCACGCACGCAACGCACGCACGCACGCACGCACGCACACACACACCACACACACACACATCACACACACACACACACACACACACACACACACACACACACACACACACACAACCACACACACACACAACACACACACACACACACACACACACACACACATACTACACACACACACACACACACACACACACACACACACACACACACACACACACACACACACACACACACACACACACACAACACACACACACACACACACACACACAGACACCATCCAATGAGGGTGATGTTAAATGTCTATCACTGAATTGCTCATTCTGTTTATTTGCATGTGTGTGAGTGTGTGTGTTTATCAGCCTCTAACATTTGGATTGTCACGGTCACATGACTTCACGTCACCACCGCTAAGCTAAAGGTGGCTAATGTTGAGCCTGATGACGTTTAGTCGTCTCATTAACACCATATCCCAACGTGCATTGCGGCTAAAACATCCAATCACCGAGCTTCAACCATAGCTGAGGATCTTGGGTAATCAGTTCAGTGGGTCTGTTTCCGGTGACTTTATTTTGAAATTCAGTTCCTGAAGGACATAAAAAAAGCCAGATATTATAGAATTAAACAAATAAATAAAAGTATGCTGAGGCTCTGAGCTCCCTTTCTTTTCCTCTCGGACGGCAAAAAAAGTCCGACATTATACGATTTAAAATAACAATAAACAATAATCGTGGCTTGATATTGAGTAAGAAGATGTTTTTATGAACCCCACAGCTTCCAGTCTTCCAAGACCCGACCGGACAAAAAGACGTGGTGCCGGCACGAAACACACGACCAATAGAAATACATTGCTTTTAAAATCGTTCTGTGTGACACGAAAAAAAGGGGGAAATGGTGATGGTGAACACGAATCAATAGATTAAATGTCGTGACCATAACACGAAATGCCGTGAGACTTGGGTTGCTCATTTAGACACTTGTTAGCAACGGCCATTTTTGTATTCACCCGTGGGGTATTTACTGACGTATTTTATGTCGTAGAACAAAGTATCTTCAGCGTGTGTTAACCACAGACCTTATTTCAGGCTAACAACCAAAAACAGATAAAAAACCCATTGATTTACCAGACGAGGGAGCTTGAAAGTGCTAAAATGAGTCAGCATATTAGCACTTTCAAGCTCCCTCGTCTGTATTGTCTGTAAAAGTACCCTCAGTGTTTCCTACCTGCAGATGTAGTTGGTCTTGCAGGACGCCTGCAGCTCCAGACAGTTTGGTTTCTGCTTCTCTTCGTAGGAGCAGACGGGCACGATGGTCTGCCGCCGGCGCTCAGAGCAGGCAGACTGATCGCTCACCGGACACGAGCAGTACAGCATCCCATAACTGTGCTTCGGAGGAACCTGAGGGACACAAGAGTCACACATTAACTGGAGAACTGGAGAAGAGGAGAGCAAGAACGTCCCTCTCTTTCCTGTGAACTCCACCAAGGATGTTTAGCAGGATAATGGAATCACTTCCTGTTGTATATTCATGAAACTTAGAGGAAGGATGGAGCAAGGAAGAACCATTACATTCTGGATCCAAATCAAAAGCCGGACACAACCCCCCTTTACCTGCTGGAGTTCAGCAAACAGAGTATTTTGATTATATCCAGGTATTCAGATCTCGTCCTATCAGACACCACCGTGTTTCTCATTAACGTGAAATAGACAGAATGACTTTCTCTTTCAACACCACTCTGACTTTTGACTCTTCATCTGAATTAATTATCATTTTGGTTTTGGAAATCACTTTCTATCTGAACTGTTAGGATGTGCTGGCAGGAGAGCTGCTTTCCCAAAACACAAATATTACTAAAACCCATGGGGGGAGGGGAATATAAAGATCATATTATTGATGACGAGCAGAAACACACACGGACACAGACACAGGCTGCAGGTCTGTTCTCTGTGAGTCCACTTAAAGTTTTATTTACATTTTTTAGACCTTTCTCTTTGGATATTCTGTCAATAAAGTTGTGTTTTTTTGGTTGAAAACAAACAGTGGCTAATGCTGTACATAAGAGGATTAGTGTGACATGTGCTTTAAGATCTGACCAAAAGGGAATTATGAGAAGAAGAAAACACATTTCTTTGCCAAAAAATCTCAGAATTCTGACTGAATCAAAACGGAAATGTAAAACTCAGAGAGGGCTGGAAAATGTTCCAATAGAGTATTTTAAGACTGTAGTATTTGTACTTGTACTGAAGTAGAGTATCTGATTACTTCTTCCAACCCTGTGTATAGAGTAGTAACACATTAGGGGCTACAAGAGAAGAATGTCAACATGGTTTTATCCCCGAAACAAAGAGAACTATTGGCGCTTAAGGCTGTTTACACAAAGTTGTCTGCAGTGATGAAAGAAAACACAATCACAACGAGATGAACGCTGTCATGCCATCTCTGAGCTTTCCACTTATTCATGTTGAAGCAATCCCAGTTCAGTTATTCCAAAGGGGCGTGATGGGAGCTGGGTTGTAATTACAATGTCTCACATCATTGTATTTTATTTTTCTTCACACAATATGCCACAGACGGCGAAAACAGCTTTTGTGTTTGATGACTGAATCAATGTCAAAGCTCGGCGCTGGAAAAGCAAACTCTGAACAAAAAGACCCGGCATGATTATGTATTGTGATTTTTGACAACCCGTCTAACTTCAGAATTACTATTCCTTTTGAAGCTGGTGGACATTCGGCTTTTATCAGATATCAGTCGCTTGGAAAACCTCCAGCAGCATGTGGGCTTTTCAGAGTTGTGATTATTTTTGTGTATAAGCTCGTGTCAGAAGTGGCTTCAATTAATCAATCAATCAATCAATCAATCAACAACTTTATTAATCTTATTAAGCTTATGTCATGTACACAGGTAGGAACATACTGGATGTGGATAATTCCAATGTACACCATAAATAGTTCAGAGCATCACAATAAATAAGTAGATAAATAATCAAGTTAAAATCATTTTAAAGTTTGAGTGCCGAGGGGATGAATGATTTTGAAAAGCGATGTGTTTTAAGAGCAGGCAGAGCATATCTACGCCCTGATGGCAACAGATGAAATGAATCTGCAAGAACATGACCTGGAGCTGGTTACAAAAGGAGTTTAAGCCTCTCTGTTTTCACACTTCAGAGGTGGGAAGTAGTGGAGTACAAATACTTAGTTACTGTACTTAAGTACATTTCAGTACTTTACTCCACTATTTATTTTTCTGAGGACTTTTTACTTTGACTTCTTACATTTTGAACACAAATACCTGTACTTTCTACTTCTTACATGTTGAACACTAATACCTGTACTTTCTACTTCTTACATGTTGAACACAAATACCTGTACTTTCTACTTCTTACATTTTGAACACAAATACCTGTACTTTCTACTTCTTACATGTTGAACACAAATACCTGTACTTTCTACTTCTCACATGTTGAACACAAATACCTGTACTTTCTACTTCTTACATGTTGAACACAAATACCTGTACTTTCTACTTCTTACATTTCCCAAACAGGCTGGTTCCTTTAGTTTGAATGTGTGTTTGGTGGCGTGATCATTATTATTTAGAGTCATTGCGTGCCTATTGATTTGAACACGATCCGTGTATCCATCATTTCCTGGTCTTCTCTAAAGAAGAGGGACCAATGAAAACGTTGTCATGTTGCCGTTGTTCAGCATGGAAACATTCATTAGCTAACAATGACATTATTGTTCTATTAATATAAAGGGAGGTCAGGTACTCTTTAAAACAGCTGCTAGTTATGGGAACTTTTTACTGAAGTACATTTCAAAGCCCTCTTTACTTTGACTTGAGTAAAGAAGTTTAGTCAGTACTTCTACTTTCACCAGAGTATTTTTAAACATGAGTATCTGTTCTTCTACTTGAGTAAAGGATGTGTGTACTGTTGCCTTCTCTGAGCAGGTGTTAACATGTTGTTCAGGCTGTTCCTGTCTTTCAGTGTAAGGCTAAGGAAGCAGCAGATAAACGTACCTTATCGAAGAACTGCCGCAGCGCCTTGTGGCACTTCCTCTTGTTGCAGACCTCGGCGCTCGACACCCTGCTGGTGCACGGGCTGATGTAGGCCGAGCGGTACTTCTTACACGTGTCGTTCAGGTTGCACGCCTTCGCCGCGTTCAGACAGTTATTCTCTCTGGCTACTGCTGGCTCACCTGGAGACACGGAGAGGAGGAGAGGAAGAGAAGAAACAAGAGAAAAAACGGTGAGAATTGAGCAGACGTAATGAAGAATATGTAGTTCAAGGTTCAAGGTTCAAGGTTAGTTAGTTTGTTTGTACAGTATAGCACATTTTAAGACACAGAGGCAATTCAAAGTGCATTTAACACATAATAATTAAATACAAAACAAACACACCAGCAAAAACAATAAAAAGACATTCATGTCATGGCTGCGTATTCAAAAACAACCGTAATAAAAGAAGACAGACATTTGATAATGTGCATCAAGCGGGACATATTCTGCTCATTTAAGGATTAACGATTTTAGCCTTTGCACACCATTCACATGCACAAAAACCTATAGAACAACATGAAAGAGAAAACCCCCCAAAAAGTATTATAGGGCCTCTTTAATCTAATAACATCAACATGTAAAGTCTTGCAATGTTTAAAGACTTCTGAAGTGACATCCTAACAGCATATTCACAGTTTTGTATTCATCCAATGTGGATCCGCACCAAACACAGTCGTGATGCTTGAAGCTCTTCCAACATGAAAACAGCTGTTTGATTATAAACTCCCAAGGTCCACTGACTTGTTTTTCATTTTGACTACATCTCTTTGCCTTCCTGAACAGATTGAGTTTTCATGGAGATGTTCATTTGTATGTGACCTAAGCATTCATAGAAGTTTCAAATCCATCTATTGAGGCGTGTTAAAAGTTCACCTTGTGTTCAATGGCGCCTTCACCATATTTGACTGACATCTGTTCACATTTTCAACCTGATACACAAATCAAACGGCACTCTTTCAGATCATATCATCACAAAACAAAAGCTTTTCCTCGACAGCATTCAGAAACATGTGTGTGTGTGTGTGTGTGTGTGTGTGTGTGTGTGTGTGTGTGTGTGTGTGTGCGTGTGTGTGTGTGTGTGTGTGTGTGTGTGTGTGTGTGTGTGTGTGTGTGTGTGTGTGTGTGTGTGTGTGTGTTTCAGGTCACGACTGGCTGATTTCTTCGTGAACTGTCAGCCGGAGCCTCGCTCTCTGTCCGGCTGTCTGAAAGAGAACTATGCCGACGGCCTGCTGTCCTACTCCGGTATAGTCGGTGAGTCGCTCCTATTGGTCAGATGTGTGTGTTTACGCAAAAAAGAAACACGAGACTTCAAAACAATCAAACATCAACTCACGTGTAAAAGGCCCTGCAGGCTAACCAGACATGATTTTATGTGTGTTTACAGTGTGTGTGTGTGTGTGTGTGTGTGTGTGTGTGTGTGTGTGTGTGTGTGTGTGTGTGTGTGTGTGTGTGTGTGTGTGTGTGTGTGTGTGTGTGTGTGTGTGTATGTGTGTGTGTGTGTGTGTGTGTGTAGTTACTGTAGTCATCAAAGTCTCCAGTGCAGGGCCTTGCTCATCTGTCAGCCTGCACTAATTGCTAGTGTTCTCCTTGATCCGCTATCAATTAACATTTTCACAGACTTCTCCCCCCCCCCCCCTCCCTCCTGCTTATTTTGGTGAAAAGATCCCTTAACGAGCACCAATTAAGTACGAGGAAGGCCAGCTTGAGAAATATACAGTAAAATTAGAGGGGGAGGAGAGGAGAGTTTGTGTCGTGAAGTGTTAGCGAATGGTGCTAATAAGATTCTTCACATCAAGAGGAGGGAGGAGAGAAAAGGAGGAGGGAGGTTAAAGAGGATAGTATGCTCACTTTCAGGTGTATATCAGTATGTAGTGTCTCTACTTTAAAGAGTCCTCTCCTGCTGATGTTCAGGTGTATATCAGTATGTAGTGTCTCTACTTTAAAGAGTCCTCTCCTGCTGATGTTCAGGTGTATATCAGTATGTAGTGTCTCTACTTTAAAGAGTCCTCTCCTGCTGATGTTCAGGTGTATATCAGTATGTAGTGTCTCTACTTTAAAGAGTCCTCTCCTGCTGATGTTCAGGTGTATATCAGTATGTAGTGTCTCTACTTTAAAGAGTCCTCTCCTGCTGATGTTCAGGTGTATATCAGTATGTAGTGTCTCTACTTTAAAGAGTCCTCTCCTGCTGATGTTCAGGTGTATATCAGTATGTAGTGTCTCTACTTTAAAGAGTCCTCTCCTGCTGATGTTCAGGTATATATCAGTATGTAGTGTCTCTACTTTAAAGAGTCCTCTCCTGCTGATGTTCAGGTGTATATCAGTATGTAATGTCTCTACTTTAAAGAGTCCTCTCCTGCTGATGTTCAGGTGTATATCAGTATGTAGTGTCTCTACTTTAAAGAGTTCTCTCCTGCTGATGTTCAGGTGTATATCAGTATGTAGTGTCTCTACTTTAAAGAGTTCTCTTCTGCTGATGTTCAGGTGTATATCAGTATACACATTTTGAATACATTCCTACAGCTGTATATCATATCTGTTCTATCAGTACTCATATCTGCACGGTATAGCATTGATTTGGGGAAGACTTGTTTGTGTTGTCCTCTGCATCTCACTCCTCTTCCCTCCAAAACTTTTCTCGTTCCTCCATCACTTTAAACCCTCCGTCTGCCTCCTCTCTCTTTGGAGCATGAACTTCAGACGTTTTTATTTTCTGTTGCTTTCAGCTCGACTCTCATCTGTTAACCCTGCAGTTTCCCCAGGGCAGCAGATAGGGGTTTATCTTTGACTCTCTGAGCAACATTTGCCTGGTTTGAAAGCAATGGATCAATAGTGCATCCATGTTTTTTTTATGTTGGCAGGCGAAAACACCCCTTGGGTTATAAAGCTTGGGGGGCAAACACTAAAACCTGCTATCAAACAGACAGATCCCATGCTGTTCAAATGGAGCCTCTTTTACAAATGTGTGCCTGGTTTTAGAAAAACTGCTTCTCTTCCCTTCCTCGTTCTCTATCGTTACTGAAAGAAGAAGAGGGAAGGAAGGTGGGAGTAATAAAGTAAGAAGGGAAAGTTAAAAGGAACTTCTTGAGCTCGTGTTGTAGGATTATTTAGAACGAGACCCTTTGAGGTCCCAGCCGGTTGACATTTTAAACCTGATTAAATAAAAGCTTTAATGTACTTTTTATCCTCACTGAGCCGGAGTGTGTGAGGATCATTTTCCTTTCTGAGATTCATTTCAAGAGCACTTTAAGGATTCCTTTACTTCCTGTTCAGAAAGTGAGGATGATTGAGAACTATGCTCTGAATATACAAGTGTCTAAGCATCAAAAAAAGATTCTACAATAATTGATTACAAAGCTTGGGTGAATACTCCATTCTGATTGGTCTATTTGGACATTCCAGAGGTCTGTTATTTTTTGCTAACAGACCGTTGCTTAGGAGAATCACTCAGGGCTTTTTGCATTCAACAACACGGTGTGGGCACTCGTTTAAATACAGGTTAATGGAAAAGGAACTTGGACAGTTACAGAAAACCTCCATAAGTGCTGCCGTCATTTTAAGGTACGTTCATTTTTGTTGTTGTTGGAATACGATCATTTTCAAATCAACAATATATTTTTTTTATCAATATTATGACTCAAGTCCTTGGTTTCTCCAACATGTACATGCGTATTAAACGGAATGAAGCGACAGGGTGAGCAACAACGATGACGTGTTTACGCTTTTGAAAGATTAATGTTAACTGTCTTTCTTGCCATAATATTCTACCAAATCCTTGAGTCTGCATGTGTCCTTTCTACTCTTCAACAGCTGCATCGAGGGAGTCCCTACACACACACACACACACACACACACACACACACACACACACACACACACACACACACACACACACACACACACACACACACACACACACACACACACACACACACACACACACACACACACACACACACACACACACAGACAGACATGCATACAGTATATCGTCTATATCAGTGGTTCTCAACTGGGGTAGTAATACATCTATTTATTTTCTGAGTGTACCAGAATGCGTAGTTTATATGTTAGTATTTCTAAAAATCTCCTGGGGGACAATCCCCCCAGACCCCCTGCTGGGGTTGGGTTTTCAGCATGTGTGCCTTTTTATGTTATACAGTTCAGCTTTCATTTCATCATCTCATTAAACCTTTTTTAAAAGCATACTTTGGTTCTGTGAAGGGATATAAGCACTGTACTTCACTTTCATTAATATTGTAAGCTGAAAAGCGTACATATATTACAGCACGATTTTTTGTTGAATAGATTTCAGTGGTTCAAAATTTCGGGTCGCGATTTATTGACAAAGGAAAAAGTGGGTCCCGAGGCCGGACCAGTTGAGAACCACTGGTCTGTACCCTCCTGCGCCCCTAGTGTCTGCAAATACATCTCCTGAACTCCCCTTGCACTCCTGGCAGATGGTATTGTCTCTCAAACACACACACACACACACACACACACACACACACACACACACACACACACACACACACACACACACACACACACACACACACACACACACACACACACACACACACACACACACACACACACACACACACACACAGGGCCCACACACACACAGCCCCCCCCCCCCCCCACACACACACACACACAGGGCCCACACACACACAGCCCCCCCCCCCCACACACACACACACACAGGGCCCACACAGGGCCATCTGGAGGCCTGGTAGGGGGAACGAGGCCCCCCCAGTGGCTCATGTTTCCGATTCAGTCTCAAATTGATTATCATGTCGCCTGTTTCCTCCAGTCCCACTAACCCACCCCCCCCCAGCTAATTTTCAATTACCATGGGACGCCTGACCCGGACCCCCCTAATATATTTCACTTTTTAAAGTACCTAGTGTGCATTACAAGAAAACTGGGGAGGCTGCTTTATGGTTTTTATCTCATTTGATCTTAGAACCTGAGTTGGAATTTTTAACAGGAAATTAAAGACCTATCTTTTCATTTGGCTTATCATGTTATAGTATCACTGTTCATGTCTTATTGTTTTATTGTTTTTACACATTTTAATTTAGTTCCTCATTTGTTATTGTCATACTCTGTAAAGCACTTTGCGTCAAGCATGAAAGGTACAAAATAAAGTGTACTATTATTATTATGAATACACTTCTTGAGTTCCTCTCCTCATGTTCTCGTTTCTTCCTCTCCTTCGCTGCCTCCTCCTCACATCGTCCTCCCTGCTCCTCTCTCATGTCTCCGTGCTGTTCTGGGTGTTTCCCAGTCATTACCTCCCTTCCTCTTTCTCCATCATCATTACGCGTCTCTCAACTTCTCTCTGGTGGCTCCCATCTCTCTTGTTTCTTCCGGTGTCTCTCCTCTCCTCCCCTCCGCCATCTGTCCTTTACTCTTTATTTGAGGCAAAGTGAAGTCATAAAGATGGCCTGCAGTGGCCTTTCCATGCCTGTTCAAAACTCAGATTCATGAATATCCCAAAAATATCCCATATCCTGAATCCATGTCTCCTTAAAAACCTACTGTACAATTCCCGTCACCACCGCTAAGCTAAAGGCGGCTAATGTTGGGCTATAAAGGAACTACAGCACGGTCACATGACTTCACGTCACCACCGCTAAGCTAAAGGAGGCTAATGTTGGGCTATAAAGGAACTACAGCACGGTCACATGACTTCACGTCACCACCGCTAAGCTAAAGGAGGCTAATGTTGGGCTATAAAGGAACTACAGCACGGTCACATGACTTCACGTCACCTCCGCTAAGCTAAAGGCGGCTAATGTTGGGCTATAAAGGAACTACAGCACGGTCACATGACTTCACGTCACCACCGCTAAGCTAAAGGTGGCTAATGTTGGGCTATAAAGGAACTACAGCACGGTCACATGACTTCACGTCAACACCGCTAAGCTAAAGGCGGCTAATGTTGGGCTATAAAGGAACTATAGCACGGTCACATGACTTCACGTCACCACCGCTAAGCTAAATGCGGCTAATGGGCGTGATGACGTTTAGTCGTCTCATTTAGATACTTGTTAGCAAACTCTGTTTATAAATTCACCAGTGGTATTTACTGACATATTTAATGTCGTCGAATTAAAATATCTTCAGCTTGTGTTAACCACAGACCTTATTTCAGGCTAACAAGCAAAAACACTTTCAGAAAACCGTTGACTTCAACACAAAAGAACAGGAAGTGGTAAAATGCTACGTTTTTTCTGGGTTTTAGGACTTATTATTCTTCCTTTTAATCTGCACTGTCCCTTCCCTGTATATGTTCCTGCTGTAGGATAACAAAATAGAGGATTTCTGATTCTGTATCCACAGTCTCTATGCTCTTGTTATTGATGTGACCATGCTATTGTCCTTTCCATGAAGCCATGCTATTGTTAAACGATTGCAACTGTTCCTCTTATAGCTATTTTAAATATGTCATACCGCTGCCCCCTCAGTTTGTCATTGTCTATTTTACACCGGCCTAACTGCACACACTTCTGCACTTCATCCGTTTGACAGGTGTGTTTGTTTCCACTGCTCATGGCTGTGCAGCAGTGGAAACCTCATGCTGAGCCACTGCCTGTAATTCACAGCCTCATTGTTTGTTAAGTACAGTGAATGTGGGGGGGATTTGTCCCGGTGGCTGCGGGGGATTACGGAGCAAACATGCTGACACCCGGGAGCAAACACAAATCCTATCACACTGCGTTAATATAAATAGAGCAATTAAATGGCTATAAATTAGCACTTGGCAAAGAGGGTTATATGCTACCAGGCTGTGCTGTTAAACTACATGAATTGAAGCTAAAACAATTAGCCTAATATGAATCTATCAATCGTAATGCACTTGAGAATTGTGTAGAATATATTCACTACTCTATTATATTGTAAGGCATAACGTGATGTGTTTTCACACCTTTGGACAGTTTTAGTGTTTTTGGTGTCTATCTACGCTGGGATCCTGAGTCCTGCATCCTGAGTCCTGAGTCCTGATCTGAGTCCTGATCTGAGTCCTGGACTTCGAGTCGTGGCTGAACCTGTCACTGCGGTCCTGTCTGACTCTCATCATACTACATCCCTGATGGCTCCCACAGGATTGTTGACATCCTCGTGGATTCATCTTCTTATTATAGAGACATGCATTTCCAAACATTCGGTCTACCTATGTTGTAAATGTATTATCTCTTCGATTTACACACGGCATCTATTGCACGTCTGTCCGTCCTGGGAGAGGGATCCCTCCTCTGTTGCTCTCCCTGAGGTTTCTCCCATGTTCCCCTTTAAACTCTGGGGTTTCTCTGGAAGTTTTTCCTTGTACGATGTGAGGGTCTAAGGACAGAGGGGGTCGTATTGTCACTGATATTCTGTACAAACTGTGAAGTCCACTGAGACTAATGTAACATTTGTGATATTGGGCTATATAAATAAACATTGATTGATTGATTGATTGATTTTACTTTGGATAAATTGACTGGGAGTTTTGATGCAACCATAGAAGAGAAACTATATATGTTATTGACATGCTATCATATTGAGTCGTATACAAATATAAAATGGAGCATTTAGCATTTGCTGTCAAACCTCGCGAACCAAAAATAAAAAGCCTAATAATGTCATTATCTATCAATAGAAAATTATTTGAGTTTTTTGGGGGGGTTTCGGGTTTTTGGAAAGTTTTAAGAAATCTAGTTAAATTCTGGGAAATGTGACGTTACCATAAGTCTACAAAGATGACATGCTGTATATGTAATTGACATATCATTTGAATCGTTTAAACATATTGAATATACTGTAATGTCATCATAAAGATTTATGTGTGATTTTTAAATAACAATTATGTCATATTGGAAATAAATGTTTGCTTGAAAACAAATTCATTCTCAGTTTGTGTCAGTATTGAATATATATCAGATGTCATTTTATAACATAACTTATTTGCAAATCCTGTGTGAAATCCATAGTGTATTGTCTCAGTATAAGCAGGATTGTTTTAGGTCTGGCATTACCATTTAATTTCCCCGTAGAACTTGTATAAATTGTAAAGTTAATTTGTCCCGTCCCCGTCTGCACACATCGTGATTATTCATTGTGTGAATTACTTTCCTAGCACCTCCTTCCCACTTTGAGAAATTACCACACAGTCAGATTCAATAGAAGAAAGTAACATAATAAACGAGGCCCGCGGTCTCCTCTCTCTCTCTCTGTTGATTATCAGTGGTGAGTTACACTGTCGTCCGCTTTAATGGGCTTGAAAGTGCAAAGCAAGCAGAACTGAGGAAGAATAAAGCCTCAAGGTTTACTCATCTTTCTTTCTAAACTCTTCACCCCGTTCAACGCTCCTCTGGTTTTCTGCTGGCCTTCTTTCCTTCTCTTTCTGTGCGGTTAATAACCCCCCCCCCCCTCTTCTTCCAAACACTGTCCCAGAGCAATAAAGCCACATGGCACTTGGTGCAGCAAATACCATAACTCACAGTTCCTAGTAATTGATCCCTGTAGTGCAACAGTCTTTCTCTCCTTCTCTTTCCACTCTCCCATCTATATCCCGTCCCCTTCCATCACCTCTTGCCGTCTCCGAGAACATTTTCCATCCAATTCCATTGAATTCATTGAGCTTTATTGGCACCCAGCTCAATAAAAGTCTGCCAAAGACAATTATTTCTGTGTGTCCCATTAGCCGCCTTCCACTTTCCCTCTCTTGACATCCCATAGCGGTGTTTTACTTCCCCCTTCAGCTCATTTCATCCATCCTGTTTTCGCTAACATTTCAGGCAGAAGTGCTCACCTGAATACATCACATGCTCTCCGTACCTCATCAGCACTTCCAATTTCATACTTATTTTCCCCGCCTGAAATTTCATTTTTCATCCAATTTGCTCGACCTCAGACCTGGGATTATGAGTGCTGGAACTGATGGAGGAGTAGGAATTCATCCCTTGGGCAAATCCTGTGTTGGCAAAAAAAACGTTCCCTCCTCTCAGCTTAATGTTGCCCTGATGTCCCATCCCACACATATTCCCTGTTGATCCCCTCAGGTTTAGCTTGTAACATCTACAAACTTTAAGGTAACCGTCAACACCTCTGGAGTTATATGTGCCCCTCGTCCTGAATCCCACATTAGTTTCTGAGAATCTTTCCTAGCTTTCAAATGAGTGCTAAAGAGTTAAAAATGCTAAATTCCTCCGGTTCTTTTGTATGTTGTTGTTAAACAAATTTGGCAATGCAAGACGTTTTTTCTTGACATACCCACAGATATGTCATCATGTACTTTAGGTTATTCACAAAGCAATGTGGGGCATATTTAAATGAGCTACTAAGCTAGTAGTCACCATAGCAAACAAGCTACTAAACCATGAGTCAAGTGTTCCACCAACAAGTAGCAACTAGCATGCTAACTGGCTAGCAAGATTACAGACTACAGGATAATCCCTGAAAGAAAGAGCTAACCAGTAGCAAACAATTCATGTAAACATGCTAGAAAGTCAAAATCAGACAACAACAAATAGGGCATCCTTGTTCTGCTTAGCAGCAGTTTGTTACCGAAAAATAACAGACCTCTGGAATTACCAAATTGACCAATCAGATTTGAGTATTCAACTAGGTCGTGTGATCATTCTTATTAACAGTCTATGTCTGAGAGGCTATGCTGATATATATACTCTTGGACCAGTGTAGAAGCAGGGCCGTCCCTCCCTACAGGCCGATCATGCAGACTGCGTGGGGCCTCACCTTGCGGAGGGGGCCTTGCCTTGCGGAGGGGGCCTCGCCTTGCGGAGGGGGCCTCGCCTTGCGGAGGGGGACTCATCTTGCGGAGGGGGCCTCGCCTTGCGGAGGGGGCCTCGCCTTGCGGAGGGGGACTCATCTTGCGGAGGGGGACTCATCTTGCGGAGGGGGCCTCAACTGAGCCGAAAATGCGGAGCACCTATGCGCTTATGCGGCGCAATTAGTGTGGCGCGGCACGGTTTCGCCGCTGCGAGGCTCCACTTTCCCCCCCCATCCCCTGTCCGTTGACGCTCGAAATGAAACAGAGGGCCTCATCATATAACTTTGCGTGGGGCCTCATGTTGGCCAGGGACGGCCCAGTGTAGAAGACTCAAAGTAAACTTAGTTTTCTTGAAGTTCATGTTTTCTGTGTTTGATCTAGATAAACTTCAGCACACCCAACAGAGCAAAACTGAGAAAGATAGGAGGAAGAAACTTGGAAAAGGCGAGATAAGTGTGGAGAGGAGGGGGGGGGAAAGGAGGAGAAACGCTTTGGCTCTCCACAGTGATGAATCTCCAGCGAGGCCTGTTTCATTAACAATCTGCCAGGCTGGAGATCAGCCGGTAAGAGCAGGTCCTTCGGGGCTGCTGCAGAAATATATGGCTCTTTAATAATGTCCACAAACACATCCAGTTCTGTGCAGCTCTCTGCTCCCTGCTGGCCGGAGCTCCCTGAACACTGACTGTACTCCTTTATATAAACAGTATCTAAACACTGACTGTACTCCTTTATATAAACAGTATCTAAACACTGACTGTACTCTTTTATATACATATATATATATATATATATATATATACATATATATATATGTATATATACAGTCTATAGCAGGGGTGTCAAACTCAAATACACAGTGGGCCAAAATTAAAAAAATGGGCACTAGTCGAGGGCCGGACTGGTTCAATGTTTATTGCAAAAATTATTGAAATGAATTTATTGCACATATTAAACCTGGAACTAACAAAGCTTAAACTATTGCCTATAAAAACAACATTAAACATTAAATAATCAGTTGCATTCATTTCTTATGGCTCTATCTGCAGATCAGAGTCATTTCTTATGATTACATTTTCCCACAGGCCAACAGCAGCTTCAAAAAAACGATTTCCCTCAAAGAAAAAACCCAACATGCTCTGTTGTCTCAAGAAACAAAGTGCAAAATGAAACATCCATGTAAACTCAGTGTGCTGCTCTGTGATGCTAGTTCAGATACTTGGCATCTCATCTTGGGTGCAAGGTCATCAATGTTTGGGGTCAGGCTCTGAGCTGAGGAAACCCTCAGGATGGAGTGAAGGTGTGCGTGCAATATACCGGCGGGCCAGATCTAATAGTAATTAGAAATTATCCTGCGGGCCGAAATTAAATCCACCAAGGGCCTGATTTGGCCCCCGGGCCTTGAGTTTGACACATGTAGTCTATAGTGTACTACAGCAGCTTCAAGTCTGCAGCAAACACACACAAGTTACTTCCATTTGTAAGACTATCCCTTTTCCAAAAAAGTCATCCCTAATACAGTAGGATGCACCACATACAGAGAACCCATTAGAATATGAATTGCTTTCTTTGGCTTTCTTTATATCACCAGAAAGTTGAAATTAAAACATGTCCAAGGAATATGCTGGTTTATTTCTCCTGCTTGTTCAGTAGTGAATTCATGCTGAAAATGCTTGTCTAAAACAACGCGATATACTATAAAATACGTCAGTAAATAAAACCCCACTGGAACATGTCGGAAGTGTGATAAAAACTAAACTACTATACTTTATCACAGCAACACAAGTTCACTTTTAGCTTAGCGGTGATGAAGTAAAGTCATGTGACTGTGTTGAAGTTCCTTTATAGCGTAATGTTAACTTTTCATTTGCATCGATTGGATTTACGCTTCAAAATTCACAAAGTGGTGTTAATATGTGGAGATGATCCTGCTGAACATAAATGTGTAAGTAACATAAATGTGTGTTATCTGCAATATACTGAAATCCTACTATGGGGAAATCCCACTGCGTTTTGTTGAGGGAGCCGTTGTGTTGCTAACTACCGGGTTACACAAATACATCATCACTGCACCACTTTATTATGCCACTAAATGTAAATAATTAATCATTGTAAACCTATCAGATATCTTAAAAACCCCAAATTGTGCAGCTCCACTACAGGATCACAACATCCTGTATTAATAAAAGGGTTGCCATGAATCAAAATGTCTGCAAAGCTTTGTTTTAATGCAGAACTTTGGGACCAAACTGTGCCGGGAACATCGCCACCCCTTTATCTATTTGTTTGTAATACTTGTTTCACTATATATCTCTGAATTGTATCCTAATTGCTCTTTAGCACACACTCCATCATCCATGCTGCTTCAGTCACAAGGAGGAGCACAAGGAATAAAACAGATCGATACTGAAGGAAGGCAGCGCTGTCAGCGAGAGAGAGACAGATCAGTGGATTAAGAACGAGCAAACACACAGAAAACTCTTCCTAATCTTCACAGCTGACAGAACTGTCTTAACCTGAGAGTAGCAGGAGATCATAATGTGTGGATCAGAGGAGCCAGATGATTACCTTCAAACTCAAATGTATTTGAAAGACAGAACAGCTGAGTTATATAGACATCCAGATGACTCAATATTCAGTCTTCTTACAGGTAAACAGCCTTGTGTAAGAACTGCATCCAAGAGCTCATGAATATATGTAATATCAATGATTGTATTCCCCAATACAGGTTCCTTCTTGAATAAACCACAACATCATGCCTGCTTTTGTGTTATAAGCAGGTGGCCCTCAGGAGCCTTATAGTTCAGTACTTTGACAAGTTGCATGTTGTTGTTGTTGTTTTTCCTGCTAGCTGTCAATCATCTCTCCTAGTTTCTGTCACTACTCGTTTGCAGATATGATTTGATGTGTTTGTACGGTTAATCCCACATACAACTGGGCCTTATGTATTATATTTTATGCACGTTTATGCAAAATAAATTCTCTTGGCCCCTTAAGACCCCAAGGGATCAACAACTGCTTCAGTAGCAGAACAACAGAAACTACATATATTCCGCCGTGAACAGAAAACCTGTGGGTTGAAGAGTCCTCAAGAACTGGTCACCATCCCTTACATCTGCACATTTCCAATGAAGAGCAAAGAGCAGGGTTCATACAGTCTTTCACCAATGATTTTCAATGACTTTTCCATGACATCTCCATGACCTTTACCTAATTTTCCATGACCAAATAAATTACTCTTTCTCAGCAGTACCACTGAAAATTGTTTATTTTAACATGGAACAGGAAAATAAGGTCTGCATATGAAACATGTTGTGCCTATCTAAAACATACTTAGCTTCTACACGCTAAAGCAACTAAAATCTCTCACCAGCAAAATACCTCGACAGTTAAATGCCATTTTACGTTTCATTACTATACGATACAGTATTTATTATCATTATAGTATTACTATTTCAGCGATTAGATAAAATATAAATTATATTTGATGCAACTTTTGTTAAATTTCCATGACTTTTCCAAAACTTTGGGAAAAATATTGTTTTCCATAACTTTTCCAGGGCCTGGAATTTGCATTTTGAATTTCCATGACTTTTCCAGGTTTTTAATGACCGTAAGAACCCTGAAAGAGTCTTTCGCCCGTTGTACAACCAATAAAAAATAGTGAGTATCACAGCAGAGGATCTCTGGGTACTGTGAAGATAAAAAGGCTCCAACGACCATAACCGTAAAACTTTACAACGAACACTTCTGCCATCTCAATACACCAGATCCAAACCACTACTTTTCTTCCATCGCAAACTGAAAACCTGTGTGTTTAAAAAGAGTTCAGCCCATTTGAAACTAATGCAACGGCACTTCAATGGTTTTCTTATTTGAAGTCAATGTATCTGGACTTTTCTTGCTGTGCTGATTATATTTTCCGTGGTTTATTACACTATTATAAGTTGCTTTGGGTAAAAGTGTCAGCTAAATGAAATGTAATGACTCCATTACCAACATGTCAAGAAAAGTCCTCAAGAACTGGTCGTCAACCCTTAAATCTGGACATTTCCAATGAAGAGCAAAGACTCTTTTGTCCGTTGTACAACCAATAAAAAATACTACCCCAAGTCTCGAGGTGAGTATCACAGCAGAAGATCTCTGGGTGCTGTGAAGATAAAAAGGCTCCAACGACCATAACCGTAAAACTTTACAACGAACACTTCTGCCATCTCAATACACCAGATCCAAACCACTATTTTGTTGTGTTCGAACTCTCTGACGCTCAAAGCTCATGCATCATCTCCCCAGCTGTCACCCTCATATCTGGACAAATAGATATATGTATTCTTGGGTTGGTTTCTCACAGATTAAATGTATCAGTCCTAATGTAAACTATGGCTGTCATTTATCACACCTGTCATACAAAAGACTGGCACCCTTCTGTTCTTTTGCATTCGACAGACATGCAGATTATCATACGGATGGTAACACTTTAGATTAAGGTACACATATTTACCATCAACTAGTTGTTCATTAACATATTATAGTCATTGGTTATGAACAAGACTTCACTTTAAAATAGGGAACATATTCTGAGTTAGAAATTCCTCATTTTGAGTTATTTTGACACTTTTAACACACAGGCCCATATTGAGCATATTAAGACCAAAACTCATGTACAGCAACTTCCTTACTTACAATAAATAAGCACTAATTAGAGGGTTATTGAGGAAAAACTCTTAACTATTGTCCTAGTACTTGTAGAATATGGTCATGTAGAATAAGGCATTAATAAGTGTTTTATAATGACTAATAAAGAGCCAATATACTGCTAATATGCATGTTAATAAACAATTAGTTGATGGCAATTATGTGTACCTTAATATAAAGTGTTACCAAACAGATGTTACCTGTTATAATTAGCATGTCTTAGTCCCTTTGGTTTCCTGCTCCTCTGTATAAATGACATTGCTTTTCTGTGTAACTTGGTAAGATCTGTGCATCAGTGGTTATCTGTCCTTCCAGCTGGACATAGATTTCAGCCCTGTTTCCAAAGTGCTGATTCTCTGTCTGTTACTTTAGATGAAAATAAGGAGCCCCTCCCCACGCCCCTCTGA